TTTCTGTTATGGAAATTCACATGTAGGAACATTATGGAACTGTTTTGAAATTTCTTTAGCCTTCCAAATGTAAAATCACTAGACTTTAATATATCACCAATTCTACTTTTAAAATATCAGAGCTAAGGAGACCATCCAAAGCCACCTAGATGTAGTCAGTCGGTAGTCATTTCTAAGGTTCTAGCATGCCCTTCTCTTTTTCTGTTCAAAATTTGTTCCTAGACTGAGCTCTCATTGACTAAAGTTTCACTAAAGGCTTGAGGGTTGCAAGCCTAGGAAGGGGACTATGCAGCTTGCAGTATGGAGCATGGGAATCAAGGCACACATTGGCATTCCCGAAACTCAGCAATAAAATCATTCTGAGAGTTCTCACGCCAGCATCCAGCTAGCTGCAACCGTCTCCCGTTTGCCTTCTAAGGAGATTAAGACCAGACATTTTATTTTGTTTCCGTTTTAGTTTATTTGAAGGTTTTATGATGTCTTAGTTGAGTAGCTCATGGGACTTCCAAATAAACATGCTGCTTTTAAAAATGGCAAGTTGTTTTTATTTATTTCTTTTAGGTGCCTGGTGACCTCTGGGTATATTAGGCAGCTTTAGATTATAATTAAAATAATAACTGTGATCCTAAAGCAATAATAGATGTTGAATTATACAAACGCCAAATTAGGATGCCCAGAAAATCCGTTTGAAGGAAAGCAGAGTAAGCGTGGAATTAAAAAAGTGATTTTTGTGGCAATGTGACCAAAGGAAACTCTTCTCTAATGGCAGCCTTGTTATTATTATTTTTTGCTTTCTTTTGCCTTCCTACAGGGCTACTTAAATTTGTGTGTGTGTGTGTGTGTGTGTGTGTTTGCTGGACTTGGGGTGTGTATGTTGGGGGGGTGGTGAGTATCCAGTTCTTTAGTTGACCTTGTTATGATTTTAGAGGCAAGAGAAATGAAATAAAACCTGCTTGACATCTGAGAAAATCCCGGTATTTTAATGGTTTCAGGAACATTTCTCAAGTCCATGGACACAGGTAGTAGAAGCCGACATGGTGCCCCACTGGATGCCAAATCCTGAGTGCGCTGAGCCCCCTAAGACACACACATCTGCATTCCTCCATCTGTCACCTTAGCTGATCTTCCTCTCCCAATTGTTCTTAAATTAAATGACGACATCCAATGGGAGATTTTCTCGGGAAAGCTTATGAGAATTTGTCTGAAGGCAAACTAAAATATTGCAATGTAATCACCCAACTCAACTCGCTGCTTGGCTGGTCTCAGTGCCCACTCTTACCCAAAGGAGTTCATCAACCTTAGGGCACCATATGGGCAAAAGCAACCAGGAAGAAAAGCCAGTCGAGAGGAGATGGGACCCACCGGCTGGTGATAGTCAGGGTGTCAAGGGGTGAAGGTGCTGCAGAGTGGTCTGCATGCTGTATCCACAGGCCAGGGCAAGGTGGAGGAGTAAAATAAAACAAGCATTTAGTTCTAGAACCTCATGGCATGATGCTTTATCTTAGGGACAAGAAAGTACACCCCCCTCCTTCATTTCCCCATAGATGAATGGATAGGGTCACTGGGATTGAAGGGACTCTTTACCTTGGCCAGTCATTGCCCCTTTATTCCCTCACTGCTCTGTGGAAGCCCTTCTTAATATTTAGTTGAAGGGGACAGCTATTCCAGCAATTCCAACTTGTGAGAATTATCCCAAGGAGACAACTGGACAGATTCACCAAGCACGAGGATGTTCACCACAGAGTTGTTTATAATAATGTTGCTGGCCATCCACAGGGGATTCGTTAAATAACTGCTGGTACATCCAGCACTGGGATGCAATGCAGCCATTGGAAGGACCATGCGAATCTGTAATTCACTGACATGGTCTATTGTTTTGGACAGTATGTGTAAAATGATACCACTGACACAAAATAAGACACAGCTATGCACACGTATGCAGAAAAGACATCTGTTAGGGTGAGTTCCAGGTGAACAGTGTTCGCCTCTGGGTGGTGGAATTTTGGGTGATTAAAATGTTCTTTATACTTTGATAAATTGCTTGCATTTTAAAAAGAGATCAAATATTATCTTTATCATCATAAATAAAATTTAAAAAGCTTAAAGCTACATCCACCTTTGAAAGAAAAAAGAGAGCAGCCCTGGTTATTGGCATAGGGTTATTTGTGCTGCTCTGCTGGAGTCTCAAACCCAGAGAAGTCCCGAGGAACCGAATCCTGAGAAGGAGGTTTGGCTGGGTCATGACGGGAAGAGGGGTTGGTGGTCCTGGTGATGCTCCCCCTCTTTATTCCCAGGCTGCTACGGTCTAATTTGATAATCATTTCCCTCGGAACTTTATGCTCCCCAGTAAACCCTCCAAGTGCTTCCTCAGATCAATGCTTCCAGTTGGTCCTCATATCATCTCTATAAGGCCTGGGGACCTGAGACAGCGGTGGCCATGGGACTTGAGGGAAATCGTGAACTGCTGAGACCAGCATGCTGGTCTTCTGTCTCTCCGTTCAGTGCTTCTTCCTGCCTTAGTGCTTCCCTTTTGTTTATTTTTATTTTTTTTTAAATTATTTTTTATATTTCAATTACAGCTGACCTTCAATAGTGCTTCCCTTTCAGAAATGAGAGGAAAAGGTGTTGAAAGGAAATTTTTAATAACTCAGGAAATGGAACCGAAACCTTCTGCATGTTTGTGCATTGGGACGTTCAGGAGTTGGGTTCATAATCTGGCCCTGATGACACTAATGGTTAGGAGAAATGTTTTTAGACCTCGGTGGCCATCAGTGGTCACAATTCACCCTGACGCTGCTGCGAAGGCTCCCTCCTGGAAGTCTGGAGACTGGAGAACAGCCTTAGACCTACTATGACCTGCAAACAAACTGCCTTCTTACTCCACAACACACAACCTATTATCCATTCTTTCAACCCCCCACACCTTCCCTTGAAGATTGTTAGAGCCTGTGGAGTAACAAGAGTAAGTGCTGACATTTGAGTGGTTACTTTGTGCCAAGCACCACGCTAAGCCCTTCCCATGAATTTTCTCATCTGAAGTCCACCAACCTCCCCGTGAGGTGGGTACCGTCTGGGCAGTCTGCCCAGAGCCCAGAGAGGACTGGTCTGGGAGCCATCTCCGTGCCCATGCTCTTGACTGGTTTTTCTTACTGTGTGCCTAGCGTGGATTTGAACCAAAGAGCAGGCTGGTTTAGTACCTGCTGATTTTCAGTCTAACTTGGGATTTACATAGAGTTAGATTCTTCCAAATGCTCTCTCAGCCAGCCTGCGTTCAGCAGGTAAAACTGAAGACGGGCTGTGTTTGGTTACCCGGCCTCCTGACAGCACCAGTTCACCTTCGGAGGGTTCGCTCAAATGTGCTCCTTGTCTTTGTTTCTCAAATGTTCTCTTTTCTCTTACTTCCCCTCTCAGTTTCCTCTTAACCAGCTGAGTGACAGAAACTCAATGCTGACCACTTCATTAGCCAATGACCTTGTCCCTCTGGCCTTCTGCCCCGCTTGCTCTCCTGGGCAGGTTGCCTGACGTCATAAGTCCTTGTTAAAGGTCAGGACCTTGGAGCCATCAGCACCGGGCATGTTGTTTTAATATATACCTAGAGAAATCAGGCCTGTCGGATCGCATTAGGCCCTATTTGTAGACTGTGCGCCAGTCCCCGCGGTGGAGATGAACTGTTACCTTTGAAATACAATCACGGCTCGTTACCCGTGAGCACCGAGGAGGGACTGCGGTCCATCACCGAGGCCTCCTAATCTGTCCCTCCCCTCGTCGCGGGGCTGCCCTCTTCCTGCACGGAGAGAATCCTCATCAACAGTCGCCTTGGAGAGGAGCGAGGCTAAGACACAGTGTGTTTCTAAAACCAGATGTGTTAACGAGCACATGAGGGTCGGTGTGGTTTGTGACAAGTCAGTGCCGGGGGAGCCCGCGGTAAACTGGCACACTGCTCCTGTTAGTTGTTGGTGTGGTAATAAGATGAAAACGTTGCCAGCCACTGTCTGTTGAGTGCTTATCCTGTGGCAGGCATACGACTAAGCATTAGCCTGCTTGATCTGCATAATATCCCTATGAGGTCAACACCACCATGAAACTCATTTTATAGATGGGGAAATTGAGGTTCATAGAAGCGCAGGGGTTTGCTCAAATTCGCAAAGCAACTGAGCGATGGGGGTGGGACTGATTCCAAAGCTGCTTGTAACCGCGAGGCGGGCCACAGTTCTGCTTCGATGTTGTTTGGTCTCTTCTTTGGGGTGGGATTTTAGGTGGTGTTTCAAGAGAACCGTATTATCATTCCTCCTGAAGGGTGAGGCCCCAAAGATCTCACTTGACCCAAGAGAAGATTTGTTTAAAAGAGGGACCTGGGACTAAGCCAAGCCCTTTTCCCCCTTTCTTCTTCAGGATTGGTTTTAAACTCATTCCTGCATCCCGTGGGAGTCTGGCTGGACCGATCCCTTGACAGTGGATAGAAATAGCTCTCAGAGCCTATTTTTAAGGGCAATGTGATGTCAGGAAATGAGGCAGGCATGGACACCAGGAAGAGCAAAGGGCACACCAGGCCGGAGAACAGCACTTGCACGGCGCTTAACCAGGAAACGCTCAGAGAGGGCGTGGGGGTGCCCACAAGGGGACTAAAGTTGGCAAAGACGGACCAGGGTGGGTGGAACTGGTTTTGTTTGTTTTTAAACCTGGACAGCACAATCCTGCCACATTCCTTGTGTTTTGCCCACGGCAGCGGCTCAGCCAGGGAAGGTGAGAGCTGCTGTCCCGCAGCAAAGCCACTTTTCTGGCTGGAGAAACAGAGCCTGACAAACACGCACAGAAGTGCCCGCTCGCCTCTTTCCTGGCACCTCCAGGCACAATGCAGAGGTGTCTGGTAACACTGCAATTTCCTTTGAGCTGTTCGGTTTCGTTTGGCGCCCTTGTCTGGCAGGGTCGTCTTTTTGACTGCCCGAACTCACCTGGTCTAACATTTTCTTTCATTGAGAAACAAGAAGGCTGGGACTCACCTCTCTGATTCCGGCAAAGCTGGACATGGTCCAATTGCGCTCGGCTGGACTTCTGGGGGCTGTAAATTATATCTTCCGAGCTAAGGAAGAGAAGAGACGAGAACATTGTTGGGGAGACGGCGAGTGAACCTTTGCAGGCCGCGTGGTTAATAAGCGATGAAGCCCCCATTCCTCTTATTTCTCCTGGGTAAAGATTGGTGTCCAGGGTGAGGGCTTATTATAGTCGATGCCACTTCGGCCAGTATCACAAGCTAACGACACAGCTACCTGGACTCGTCCCTGTTGATAATGCCGCGGACGGGCACTTTAGCTGCAGAAGCAGTCTCTAAAAACCCACCCCGGGGCGGCCAACCTCAACACAGCATCTGATACTAATTAGAAGTCACACAGCGCGCTCAGCTCAACTGGGGGAACACTGGCCGAGGGATCAGGGCGAGAGGGAGGAAAATTGAAAGTGAAATCCGGCGCTGATTGGAAGTGACCGGAGCCCCCACATTCCTCCCCAGCCACCGCGTGTCCGCCTGTCCATCCCAGGGAAAGCCTTCCAAGGGTGTTAACTACTGAACACTCGCCTCGCTCCATTCCCCGTTCCCTGGGCAGCTGTGGTGAGCTGGCTGCCGAGAGGGAGCCCTGAACCTATCCATCAAGTCCAGGGAAGAGAGAGTTAGAAAGGCAAACATTATCTGGGATCAATATCTTTACAAATCCGAAGGAAACCCCAGCTCCCAAAGGGTTAAGCTAGGGAAGGAAAAGCCATCAGGCTGTTTAGTGAGCTAATGTTTTTATTGATGGGGGAGGCCTTTAAGTCCCTAACAGGAAAAGTGGGGAAAGTGGCAGATTGTTTGGCTGGGGAGACAGGAGAAGGGAAGGATCATTCTATATCCTTCGCGCTCTCACTCCCCTTGCATCCCAAGCCCTGAAATCCAGGTAATGCAGGAGACGGGTCACCTTGAACAGCATTCAACACAAGGTGTCTTCCTCGCCCTCACCCCCCCCACCCAAAGTGGAACCCACCTTTTCCCCCTAACAGTTTTGCTGTAATGCACATCTCAGGCTAATGCCTGCACTGAAGAGCACATCTTAATTTAACAACTGTGTTATAAAGCACATCTCAGGCTAACATTCCTAGGATAATCCATATTTCAACCTAACTACCCTGGCACAACACTTCAATCTAATTCCCCCTACTGTAAAGTACATTGCAATCTAACACCCTCATATAATGTACATCTCAGTCCATTATTTTGTATTTTGTAAGCCATATTTCGATATGTCTTTTCCATTAAGGAGCAGAACTGTCTGGAAGACAACGGCGACCCCCGTGCTGAAAGCTTCTGTCGTTGTTACATGTCCTTTGGTGACAGGCTGCTGATGGATATGCCTCTGAACTTTCACCTTTGCCATCTTGGGTTCAACTCCAGCTTGTTTCTGTACTTCAAGCCCTGAGCCCCCTGTTGGGAGCAGGGGTGACCAGGGAGCCCTGGTTGGTCTTGATGGGCCCTCTCTCATGCTAACCAGCAGGGCGAGCCACCTCAAAAGATCAGAGTCTACCTCGGGAGAGGGCTGCCTGAGGTCAATGTCAGGGTCACGGGTCAGGGTGTAGCTGCTGGCTAATAGAGTGTAAGCTAACACTGTTGTCAAATTGCTGGGCTAAACGACAATGCCTGCCTCCTGCTGATGACCTTACCCTGAGGGAGGGGGCTATTGGCTTTATTGGAAACCTGCCAGTCTCGGGGGTGATGGAAGTGGCTGATCACAGCTAAAGACTGTTTGATTGTTGACGGAGAGCCAGTTCTGGGGTCGGTCCTCAACCGAAAGGCCTGCAAAGCTGTGTATTGATGGCCGGGTTTTCCACAGGTGATGGATTTCTCTTCTGTTACACACGCAGCTGGTTACAGTTCAGCTGTGGAGGTGGCCTGCGGTGGCCCGCGGACATGGCTTTCTCTGGGACCGAGAGACACTGGAGGCAATGAACGCACTGACTTCAGGGGTGACACCAACCTCCTATTGCCAGTTGGATGGGACTGACTGGTTCTTGAAACGAAACCAATCCCAAATGAATTGAAAATAGATGTAAGAGGTCCTTCAATTCCAAGGCATTTTGTCGGCAAACATGAAAGAAGGCAATGAGTGTGTGTTCTGGAGATTAGTGTTCTGGCCATCATAATCTCAGCCTCAAATTTCCAACCTATCCCATGAAGGAGGAAGAAATTAGATTTCTTTCTTTACTGGTAGCACATGACCAAGCTGGGAGTGCCATTAAATATTTGAAGTGAAGGACGTTACTGAGGACTGTGAATTCCAAAAATTTCTCAGCATAGTATGAATTCAGGAGAGACAAGGAAAGGAGGCAGGGAACAGAGTATAGAGATTAAAAAATGGTCTTTATGAAAAATAACATATGGATCATGGAGGATCACCAGCTACTTAAACCCTTAACGGCCTGCTAAGATAGACGGTAAGCGACTAAAAGGCATAAATGGGAGAGCAGCTTATCGAAACCGCAAGGCTATTCCCCTCGCGTGTCACGCCTTGGGAAACTCGCATCGGGCCGGTACCGCTGGTCTTCAGTCTCTAACCTAATAGAGATGGTGAAGCATCTGGGGGACACGGAGTGAGGCTCTGAAGTGAACTTGGATGTTTTTTCCCAGGGAAGACTCGGCCGAGGGTGACTTACCCATGGCCTTCCAGCCTATTAGATGACGGGATAAGTGATACAGCTTTACGCCCTGAGAATATGGTGTGATGGCATTTAGTGAGATTTTGACTTGATTCCTGGCACTATTTTCACCTCTTTAAGCCTGTTTCCGTCTTTGGTAAAGAGGATCCTGCCATACACCTTACATAGTCACAGTGCGGATTCATTCAGGCGTCGAACTCTGAGGAGAGCACTTGACGCAAAGTTCACATGCAACACACATTCGTTTCCTCCCCCTTGACCTGTGGCATGAGCTTCCGCTGGTGGCCGTTAATAAATATGGGGGTTTTGGACAATATACCTCCTCTCTGTGAGCCAGTAAGACAACCACATATACAAAGTGTAGGCAAACTCCACTTGACCACAGGGGGATGACCTAAAGCAGTTAGCAAACGATAGCCCACCGCCTACTTTTATAGATAAAGCTTTATTGGCACACAGCCATGCTCACTCGTTACATATAGTCCATGGCTGTCTCTGAGCTACCACAGCAGAGCTGAGCTGTCACAGAGACAGTGAGGCCCACCAGGCCTAATATATTTTACTGTCTGGCCCTTTACAGAAAACACTTGTTGGCCCATAACTATTCCAATGGAACACTCCTTCTTTTGTTTAAAAACAAAGTGTTATGTGGAAATCCAATATGCAAAGCAGGTTCAAGCAGCAAATATTTTCCCAGGGAGCTGAACTCACCCCTGTTTAGCACAAATACTTTATTGTTAGTAGAACTCTGAAGCGACTCTCATGGTTCCACAGAGCAGCCTAAAAACTACAGACTGAATAATTTCTGGATATTTCTTTAAGGTCCTGGAGACTCAATGATCTCTTAAGAGATGAGAGAACTACACAGGGAATATGTTCATGCCTGGCATATCCTGGGCTTTTTTTTGGTACTACTAACTGTGTGATGTTGGGCAGGTTACTTAACTTCTCTGTGCCTCCATGTTCTCATTTTTAAAATGAGGATAATATTTGCCTTGTAATTTGTTGAGTGGGTTAAATAAAATAATGTTTAAAGCACCTGAAATAGGGCCTGGCTCATAGTCAGTGCTTAGTAAATGTTAATTACTGTAGTAATTGTTATTATTAATATTTTAAGCCTTCATTTCTGCTGTGCAGATCATCTGCATAATCACGTCTTCTGTTTGTTAGCTAATTCAGTCGGTCACTCAGTCAACACATAGTTTGTGTGACAGAGTGATAGTAAATGAACTGAAGAAGTCGCTTCTTCCCTAGTCACTTTCAGCGGTTCCTGGGGGTTCGTGTTTATTGCTCTGCATCTTACACTGAGTTTCAGACTGACACCACTGCTCAAAACAACGTCCTACTGCTCCATCCCCGACGGCTCCACAAGTAATTTTTCAATGAGCAGTTTGGTTTGGATGCCTACAAAGCAATTAGACCTTAAGCCTCTTTATCGGGATTTCATCCTGTCAGCGAATGTGAAAGAAACCATAATTATTATTTAATATTTATTGAGTGTCTTCGTTGTGACATGTAGACTCACGGAAGTCACCTACCTACCTGCCTTCTTGCGGAAGACGACAGCATAGCACAGACAAGTGTGGCTCAGGAGAGCAGTCAGGCAGTTCTAGAAGCCCCAACCGGGAGGCCCAGCTTCTCAGGTCCTGCCATTTGTCAGCTGCTCTATCAGATGGCGCATTTGGCGGGTTGAGAGCGTCCTAATTTGTTACCCCTAAGTATATCTTCTAAAGTTTGATTCCAAACTGGCAAGTTCTGACAGTGACATCCAACGATTTCTTGTACCAAGCACAGGGAGCTCTTTGGGGGTTTATGTTTTCCATCATTATCAAGAGGACAGTGGAATGGACACAAACACAAATGCCATGGGATGAAGGCTTGAGGCTTTGTCACGTAATCTTTTACCCCAGAAGCTAGTTCAGGTTGCTCAGACCAAGAAGCAGCGCTGCTCACCAGAGTGGCAGGTGGACAATATTATCTACTGGCTGCTAAGTGTGTCCGCCACACAGGTGGGGGCTAGTGTGGCACAGTGACCACCCTTACCAGACTAGTGACCTTCAGCAAGTTGCTTTATCACCCTGAGCCTCAGTTTCCCCAACTACCAATGAAAAAAACAATAGCTGCCCCAGAGGATTGTTTTGCAGATCAAATAAAATAAATACACAGTATGTGGTAACTGCGGCAATTATCGTTAATATCATTACACCGGAAAAGAAACAATGCATAGTTACTGTTTGGGGTGGTGTAACTTACAGAATAGCATGGTATAAACATATGAAGTAAACTTGGAAAACATTTACACATCTACATCCAAATAATGTAAAATAAAGATTACTTAAAAGCTAAAGGAATCAGAGTGACTCATGGACATGATTTGCTTTTATAAGCTGATGTAAATAG